CGCTCCCAAGGTTACACACCCATCAGACAATAAAGCGGACTTCCCGGGCGGCGGGGAGGGACCCTGGATTCAGCGGGGGAGAAGACGGGTGGCGATGGACCCCCCAGCCTCGAAGGGCCAGGAAACAGCCGGCCTTCTGGGGTTCCGGGCGGGGTCCTTCCCCACAGACTCCCGCCGCCTCGGTCACGAGGCGGGACGGCCGTCACCGCTGAGGCCAAGCGCCTGGTGAGTTCTCGGACGGGGACGCCGCACCGATCCCGCCCCCACGCGAAAGTCACCTCAACAGGGAGCGCAGCCATCTTTGGTTTCCGGCCCCGGGCGGAAGTGACGCGCGGCCCGGCCTGGGCGCGGGGCCGGGCCTCCCGGCACGTGACCGCCCGGGGCTGGGGCGCGCGCCTCCCCGCGGAGTCCTGCCGGGGCCTCCCGGGCCTCCGAGCACCGCCGGGAGCCGCTCCGAGGCCGGGCCAGACCTTCCGGGACCTGCGGGCCCCCGGCCCCGCGGAGCAGAAACGGCCGGGGCCCCTGCGAGGTTCCCTCCGGGTCTGCGCGCAGCCTCCCCGCACGGACACGCCCGGGAGGCCCAGCGGGAGCAGCGGGTCTCCGCGCCCGCAGCCTGCACCCCGCTGGACGCCCGCTGACCTCGGGCCGCGCTCCCTGCCCCTGGGCTCGGGTTTGGGGTGACGCCCTCAGCCGGAAGCCCTGGGTGGGCGCGAGGACTCGCTCTGCTCTGATGCGGAGGAGCAGTTCCGAGGACCCAGCCCCGCAGGCACCTCCAGAGCCGCTGGGAGCCCCGGGGAGAGGGCGAGCAGGGCCCGGCAGGTTCTGGAGTCTCTGCGGGCAGAGGGCGGGGAGGAGTGAAGGGAAGAGCCCAGACAGCTCCTCTCCACCACAAAACATTATTACATTAATATTCAGACCTGACTCATAGCTAACACTGCTGCACCCTTCCTTTCAGGATTTAAATAGCATAAATGCGGTTATTTCTGTATCGAATGAAAATGCTATTTTGCATTTCCATAACGCAAATTTAACACTAATCATGGAGCCCACCGGGACTGCCAGGGGGGAGATGCGGGCGCTGTGGCTTTACAGGAGAGCCTGCACGTCCTAGAGCAGGAGCAGCGGGGCCTCTCCCCTCAAGCTAACGCCAGAGCCCAGAATCCATGGAAAAGATTCACATTGAAATGCAAACCAAACATTCAGTGAATCCTCTTAACACCAGGACTCATCTTAAAAATAAGCAGGAGAATTAATAATTAAAAAAAAAATAAGAAGGAGAAGAAGCAGAGTCTACCCAGGGCTTGGGGTGCGAGAAAGGCAGGGGAAGAGAGAAGGGAAAACATTTCCGATGGGAGTGTGAGAGGTTCCATGGAAAGCAAAATCCTTTCAGAGGGTTCCAGGAGGGGAGGAGAGGAGGCAGCAATCAGGAGAGCTCTGATCCGAATGAATTTCCTGGCCAGGTTTGTCTTAAAACTCAGCTCTCACCAGAACAGGTTTGGCTCAGTGGATAGAGCGTCGGCCTGCGGACTCAAGGGTCGCGGGTTCGATTCCTGTCAAGGGCACATCCCCAGTGGGGGGCGTGCAGGAGGCAGCTGATCAATGTTTCTCTCTCATTGATGTTTCTGGCACTCTATCCCTCTCCCTTCCTCTCTGTAAAAAATCAATAAAATATATTAAAAAAAAAAAACTCAGCTCTGAGCATATAGACACTCCCATTATTAACTTTAAACACTACCCCAACTCTTCAGGAAATTCTTAGAATGTAAATTAGATCCACTGTTAAGGCCCATCACAGCCACCTTCAACTTTCCTACAGACGCGTTTCCTATGATGCCTCTTCAGGTTCCCCCAAGTCCAAGTGGAGGGCCCCAGATCTGCTTTGAATATGCCCGATACTTCACAGACCTTCTCAACGCACACACGCACGCACGCACGCACGTTCTTACCTCTTTGTCTCTGCTTTCGCTGTTCTACCTGCCTAGATACTCTCACTACCTGGGTACATTTCTCTTTTTCAAAAGCACGGATCCTTCATG